GTATATTGTGTTCAACCGCTAGTTTAGTTACGACAATATGGTTGTTCATCTTAGCTTTTTTCTGCACTTTATTGGTCTGCAGGTAATATAGAAATTGAGATGCTCAAATAGTTTTAACTCGGAGTTGAATTTGTAAAGGAACATTCCAAGTTAGTGAAAAACACCTTATTTCCCCCTTAAGTCAAAGAAAAAAACACGGAGATTTTGAAACCTAACAATTCCATTCTCCTTAACCAAGCTCATGCCGTTGGATAGGTCACTCTCAAAGCATTCAGATAGGTAGAGTATGAATCCAAAATGGTATTTTGGGGGTACGAGAAATTTTTCTGGACTACAGTAAGCTCCTTCACGAAATGTGGACTTTCGCAAAAGTTAACGAGTAACTCAAAAAAAGTCGCTCGACCCTCCTGATCTGATTAGCATGGTTGGGTAGTTCGTCTCAGAGTGCACTAATGAATATAAGCCTGTTCTGGAACGATCCTAAACACAGCAGATCCGTTGTGGAGTAGAAGCACGTTATAATCATATTGAGTTCCAGATTTAAAAAGCTGTAGTTGTTTCGGCAAACTTTTATTCCGTGTGGAGGGTTTTCAGCTATAGACAGGAAATAAAAGGCCTTGTAAACCGATGTAATTTTGGATTTTCCACTAAGACGGTTGCAGCGCGTCAAAGTGGTGGTGATTTGTCGTGAATTAAGGTCATATCACAGCCAGCTTTGATGTGCTGTAGCAGTTTTTTTGATTTCCATCCGAGTTGTCTCCAGATGTTTTTTCTTTTGCATGATGCTTTTTGTTTTAATGCTTTATATTCATTCTTTTGCTACAGTTACTGCTGTTGTAGTGCACCCCGTTTTTACTCTGCTCTTGTAACATCGTGCTGTCCGAAATTAAATTTTTTTGTCGCAACAGTCTTATCCAGTATCCGCCTTGAGTTAGCATTTTTGCCTATATATATATATATATATATATATATATATATATATATAATATATATATATATATATATATATATATATATATATATAAAAGAAATGAAGCCAGTTTTAAATATTTGGTTGATTTAAAACTGCTGCAAATTTTAATTTTAAGACAGTAAAGAAAAAGAATTTTTTTTTAATATAGGTAGTGTTGTTTCAGTTATATAGTAGTTTATATTTTCTGTTTCAGCTACTGTGCCAGATAGTTTCAAAACCCGGAAAAGTTTCACTTCAATGGATTTACGATGAATTTGCTGGTCCGTTGAGCCGGCTTCTTCAAGATCCAAGCGCTCATGTCAGAAAAGTACTGAAGTTATTCGATGATATTGCGGTGTTTTATTAAGCCTTAAGATTTTCTCGCTGGAATTTATTGAGAGCTGAAGAAGATCCAGTAGGAGAGGAGTACAGTTTTTTGTCAGTTTTACCCTCCATTATATTTTCGGGATGGCAGTTAGTGAAAGGATGAAGGAACTGATGGGGTAACTGATTGTGTGATAGGGGGTTAGTAGTTTGAGAAGAATCGTCCTGAGCAATTTTTTTTCATTGTTGTTCGGAGATTTGCTTTCTGTTTGCTCAATGAGTACAGGCGTTATAGAATTTGAATTCTGAACAGAAAGTTCGTTTTAGCTATTTTGCAACTTGAATCTCTAGAAAACTGACTCACTAAAAACGTTGTTTGCACTTACAACTTTTGGTGTTTTAGGCCTCCCGAGCATCAAAAAGAAATGACTGTTGACAAATAATTTTTAAACTAGTTGCAGTGACGGCAAAAATTAGGTTTTCTTTCGCTTTGCGGGAGCCCTTACTTATCTGTGATAAGTGAGGTGCAGCATAGCTACTTTTCCTCGGTCAGTTGAATAGGTTTTTTCTGCCTTCAGAGTGGCCTGAAGTCTGCGTTAGTGTTTGAAATTACTGAGAACAGTTTTCTTTCTCGATGTACAAGAAAGAGAAATGTACAAATTCTGGACGTGATTTAGCGTCTTGAAAAATTTTACTTCTAACCAGCTACTCATTAAAGCATTTTGGGAATTGTTTTTGTGTGCAGCGGCACCTGTTGGTGTACGGTTTCACTCAGCGGTTGTTGTAATTGTCGTTACTTTTGCCGGAGACAGTTTTTTAATAGCATTTTTTTTGTTTAAATTATTATTATTTGTAGCAGCATTTCCGCGTGGCGAAGTTGCTGTAAGTCATCTTTCGAACATGAGTGCATTTTTTCGTTCGATTGAAACAGTTTTCTACTGGTTGCCAATATGTCGAAAGTAAAAGTGCATGAAGGTTGGGAAAGTTTTAAGTGTTTTTGCAAGAAAGAGTTGACAGAACTGATCCTAGTATGCGGAAGCGCTTTAGCGAAATAGTATGGGGTATTGCATCTTGATATTGCTTTGTTATGTTGCTTTGCAGTGCATAAGGTGGTAACCGTTCTCTTGATCATTTTCCTGTAGAGTGCGTAAGTCTCAGAGGCGATTATCTTCGTCATCAGCGGTAGTTTTCACATCGCAGTATTTAACAGTTTTAGGAGGCTTTTTCGTTTTTTTTTTTTTTTTTCATTTTCAGTCTGCATCGTTGTTTTAGCTTAGAGTGTGCATGAATTTTTGGAGAGGTTCTATACTTTTCTAGCGAAAAAGAGTGATTGTGAGTGTAAAATTATTAGGAATCTAGCGTCATTGCTAAAGCAAGTATTTCTTAGTCAGTTGATTTTACTTTTTATTATTTTTCGCTTTTTATGAACATTTATGACGACCAAGTGAAAGTTTTCTTCAAGAAAGTACAGACATTGAAAGGAGGGTTATATTTGTTGTCTTTGAAATGGCTTGGCGAGGAGGGTTTAAATTCGTGATAGAAATAATTGGCGAAGTGTCATTTGGGAAGCCAAAAGATGACAGGTAAGCAGTAAGCTGGTGGTATTGATACTTCGTTGGGTGGTATGAAAAAGATTCTGCTGCCTGTTCACTTTGTCACTAGAAGTGCTTAGAGAGGGAGAGAGGAGAAGGAGAAAAGAAGTCAAGGGATTTATTGGCAGCGCTTATTTTATATATGTTGAAGTGTAGTCAGTATATCAATATTTGTTGCTCATCTTACAAACAGAAGGTTCTGAAAAACTGAAGAGAGATAGTTCTAAGTGATTGAATCGATAGAGGACGGCACAAAGCGTTGTCGAATGCCGATTGCATCTTACCAGCCACTGCTGTAATTGATTTTTAGCAAAAAAAAAAAAAAAAAAAATTCAACTTAAAACTTTTTTGTTTTGTTTTTCTTTTGTTTTAATCATATTTCATAAGATTCAGCTATCGTTCATGGTTATTTTTTACAAAACTTTGGGTTGGAGGAAGGTAGTTTAACTTGGTTTATGTATTGTCAACATTATATGGTGCTTAACTGGAGCCGGATCGGAAAAGCCATTTTGAAAATTAACAATTTTTTTCATTCTATATTTCTCAAGACTGAAGCTGAAATTTGGTGGCGAAATACCAGAAGTCATGTGTCTTTATCTGGAAGGTATACGATGGTGATAGTAATGGTGAAAATGTATTTGTTGTTTTCAGGGGTCTGTCTGCTAATTAGAACTTCCAGTTATCCACTTAGGTTTCATCGGTAAACATTTTGCTGAATGAAGTGAAGATTAACAGAAGGAAATCATTCATAGCAGCAGAAAATTTGAATCAATAGAAAAGGGTTGTAACAAATTGATAATGCGAGATGAAAGCGTATCACATATACAGCAAAAGGAGTTATGACAGAGCACGTGAAGAAAAAAGATGTGTTTTGTATGAATGAAGAGGCACAGGGAATGGAAGTATTTGAAGAAGAGAGATGCATTCTTCATTTTGTTCGACGTAATGAAGTTTGTTGAAAAAGTCATTTGATTGGCACACAAATTTTGAACTGGTTCAATGTATTAATTAAAAAAAAAAAAAGTAGCTGTTGTGGCATTGCTGTCGCTAGTGATGGAAATAAAAGTAATAGTAAAATTAAATGAACTAAGGTGATGATGGTAGTGGGTAGTTTCAGTGTCAGGGCTACGGAAGACTAAGTGGTTGTATTTGGGAAATAGTAGTTTAGTTTTCTGGTTTAAAGAGCGCAAAGGACTGTTGTTTAGAAGCATTATTGAAGGAAAAAGATTGGAGTTTTTTGTTCTGATGGATCTTTTAAAACAGTAGGTTTTTCGATAATTGGTTAAAGCTGCTAACTGCCGCTCTGGTACTGTTTGAATTGCAGAATTTTTTACGGTTGCTGTGATTGAAGTTTGAAGAAACTTTACAAAAATGTTATAGATTTAGGAAGTGGAAGAAAGAGGGTAATCACTTATTTTGATCTTTTCTTTTCAGCCTGAATTGGGGAACATTTCTTTCTACACAAATGTTGGATTTAAACCGCATAAGAAAAGACGGGTTGTAGAGAAGGAACGTCGCCAATAGAAATTTAGATGTTAGCTGGCAAAAAAATATTAAGCAAAAGAGCATGATCTGATTGTTGGCAGACGGTTTTCTCTTAAGGTGAACGTAGTTAACTTGTTTAATTATCAAAATAAAGCAACAGGTGGATAAATGAAGACAGTGTTTCTGAATTATGGGTTAACAATTAACAGTTATTAATTTTAAATGGTTTTTGCCTCTCCTACTGAGTTCTGGGACTAGGTTTTTTTAGCATTGATTTTACTAAACTAGTGCTATGTGATGCATACAGTTTCAAAATTGATGCTGTTTAGATATGCACATCCATACTCGGTGACCTTGCTTCGCAATTTGGAAGGCCGTTCACGGAGTCTGTATGTTATTCTAGTTTTAATATCTGTTTTTGTTGTGTAATTAGCAGAATATGTCTTAACTGACTAAGATTTTTTGCTGATAACGGAATTTTTTCGCGTAAAAAATTGCATTTTTAACTTGTTTTAATTTTGCTTAATCAAGAAACTGTTTTTGCAGTTTGTAGTCCCATTTTTGGTAATTTTGAGCGAAGATTTGATATGGGGAGTTAGAAAACAATGTTGCGAGGTGTTCGTCGATGTAGCTCGCGTTTGTTCGCTGGATGTCAGGATGACTGAATTGGCACCATGTTTTATTACTTTGCTCAATGATCATTCTCACTGGGTAGAATATTTCTGATTAGTTGAATACAATTACATTGTACTCTTGTTGCAAAAAAATTTCCCTTCACTCGGTTTGCAGTAGTTGGTCTCTTGTGTTCATGCCATGTCTAACATTGTTTTTTTCTTGTTGGTTAGAGTTATTTTTATCTAGTTCTTTTTTCAGGTATGCAGTGTGGCGTATCAGAATTTGGGTCCTTTTATTGTTCTTTTTGCAGACTCCACGAGAATAACTGTACCGAATTCTGAAGTTTTAACAACGTTATCAGGTAGTTTTAGAAGGAGCAGTTAGCTACAAATTTTGTGCTGCCGTTCATTAAAGGATGCTCTAGTTTATACTGAATTGGGTTTTAAATCTTATTTTCTGTTTTTAGACAGCAATGAGATTGGCGCAAAAAAAAAGGGCAAAGTAGCTTACTCGGGATTACCTCCTGGTGTCACACTTCCCCCAAAGAAAGAAATCAAACAGTGAGTTCATTCAGTTTTATGCATTCCTCTATTATGAGATTCACCTTTTCGCCATCAGCATATAATTTTTCAGAGGGTTAGATGTAATAACGAGCCTGCTTGACAGTTGGGCCTTGCGACAGGATAGATCGACGATCGAGTCATTGTAAGGAAACAGATGCATTATGCATTTTTCTACCTATCTGAAACTGTTTAAGGAACTTGTGCTATGATTGCCACTTCTAGAGACTCTGGCGAAATTTCTTGTGGAGCCGCTGCTTTATGTTCAACGCATCATGATTTGACAAAACTTTTTGACGATGACTTTAGCAACGGTTGCGAAGGCGAAGAATCGACTAGTGATTTGGAGATAAAGGTTCTATTAATAAAATTTTTTCAGGTTTTACCTTATCTGTCTATGCCTTACAAGACTGTGTAATTTTTCCTTGTTATTTTATCGGGACAGCACCTAATATAATTTTATGTCTCACCGAGATTAATTTAAGGCTGTGGAGGAGAAAGAAGAAGATTTTAATACTTTTAAGTATTGGAATGTGACTAGTCTTTCCGAACCAGAACTGGAATCATGCGACTATGAGTGCAGTACGTCATTAAATTCAAATAATTATTATCAACGACGGTTTGGTCCACCTGTCGATTTTCAGTTTCCGCAAGAAGAATCAGAGGTCTTATATTTGGCATAACTATCGTTTCTTCAGGACTGCAAAAATCGTTTGTTTACAAATTAGATTTTGAGTATTCTGATATTCTGGTTTGCCTTTAAAGGGAGAAAAAAGATAGAAATTTGAGAAAAACTTTTTAAGAACTTTGTTGGACATCTGGAGTAAATATGTGTTCTCTTTACGTCGTTTCTTTAGCCTGATGAAGTTCTGCTGGAGCGTAAAATTAGTTTCCTTCAATTGACCGGTCGCAGCAGTTTTGATGTAGGGAACAACAATTTGGTTTCGAAAAATGCTATAGACTATCCTGAGGAAGAAAATTTTCGCTATCTTCAAAATGTAGACACCTCTTTGGTTGATGGTGACTTGACTCAGGTATTAAACCATTTAAATTAGTATTAATTTCTACAGTCACAGCTGTCTTGGAAGTGACAGAATGCTTATTTTTCATGTTAATCAGGGTAATATTCCTAAAGGCCTCTTGGACACTTACTGTCAAACAGTTTCCAATTGTTGCGCAGGCGAAAGTGACATAAATCTTCACTGTGCACATAATTTCCCTGCAGTTGCTTACGCCCTTGGTCGTAATAACTGGTTACAAATCAAAGATACATATCTGCAGCTGGCATCTGACATGCAGGTTCGTGATTCTCTTTGCTTATACAGAGTACAGAGATAGGTCTGTTACAGAAATTAACCAAAAAAGTTTTATTATTTGGTTCTCTTAAAAATGTTAGATTTAGAGGAAGGTGTTAGGAAAGTCTGCAAGAAATGTTCTGATTTCGGATTTATTACCTTCATTTATGGTTTTAATAAGTTGAAACAGCTTTTGAAATTTTTACAGTGTCTTCCAGTTCTGTGACATTCTTTCGTTTCATTTTTCAGACAATGGTGGCTTTTGAACATCAGTTTTATGTACTGATTTAAAATTTTTTGAAGATCATAAACTACTGGGTTTTAACTGGAGGGATTGGAATTTTAAAGACTTGGCTTCATACACGATAGGGAAAGCTGACTGCAGATTGTTTCCGTTGGTTCTGTGCTATGGGCAGGATGCAGTTTTTTCGAGGTCATTCTAGATTTTTAAAGGAAAACTTGTTTAGCGGTCCCAGAACGTTCTTCAGAATAGTGTCTAATGATATTGTAGGTTTTTTCTGGCGAAACCGGTGATTTCTTGCCAATTGCAGACGTTCTTCTTCAAAAACCGTAGTTGTTGATTCTTGTCGTCATTTCGTATGGAAGGCTTTCTTCAAATTTATCCAGCGATTTTTAGAGTTTGATTTCCTGCGCCTTAAGTGTTGTTTCATCTATAAATATCGCATAAGTAGAGTTTTTGCGTCTCCTCAGTGTCGTTTTCCTTTTTTACCTCTTTCTTTTCACGCTTTTTCTTCCAGCTTCATAAGTTATGTTATCAGTAATTTGTTTTTTGAAGCAGAATGCACGTCGAGTCTAAGTACTTCAATCATTTTGTCTGAATGTTCTTAGTTATTCCTCTGAATTCGAAACTAGCTATCTTAGTCGCAACTTCATAAGTTCGTTGTATAAAGGATTTGTGCCTTTTGGCTCCTTGATCATTTTACAAATTTCACGAAGTACAGCACCTGCCCGATAGATTGTTAAGTGTGGCATAAGACTTCAATTTTTTGGCTTTCTTTGCTGCAGCGAAGCAACTAAATTTTGTCTCCTAGATTAAACTAGATTGTACAGTAATCTATCTCGGTGTCAGCAAGAAAGAAAAAAAATTCTAAAAACGTCGCGTAGAAGATCTAGATGGGAACAGTGCGTTGTTTAATATAAGATTCAGTAATTGTTGAACTCAGAAGTCATTACTTGTTGTTTTTTTTTCTCTATTAATTGTCGTTTGTTTACTTTCAGTGGTGTGTACGGCAGTCTCTTGCATCTTCTATGCATGAGGTCGCAGCAATAATAGGCGAAAAGAATACTGATTTATACCTTGTCCCTGTTTTCGAACAATTTATGAAAGACGTAGAGGAAGTGAAGCTAGGAATTCTTAGGCATCTCTCAGAATTTTTTAGGGTGAGTGACTCCGTATTATCGACAGCGCACATATATTTTTCGTATCCGCTTTCAAAAGTTGCTAATTTTGATTTTATTTTAACGATCTTTCAGTCTGTCAGCAAGGAAATGCGAGGGAAATTATTGTCTGTTTTGGCCACCTTGCTGCACTCAGACAGTGAGAATGAGAAAAATTGGCGGTTCAGATACGAGTACACCTGGTATGGGCTATATTCATAAATACTTCCCCGCATCATTCACACGCTTTTGCATTCATTTATGTTGGCGTAGTACCCTTGGGCGACTTTTAGGCAGTGTGTTTTCTTAAGTGACCTCTACGACATGGAAGAAATAAATACCTACATCGCAGCGATCGCGTTAACGCTAGCTAATGGCGAGTGTTTTTTGGTACCCTAGTTTTCCAGCTTTATAAAATAACCTTAGTTTTTTAACCAAGGTTTCAAGAGACCGAATATTACCTATTTTTGTAATTTTTGTAGATCGTATCGCGCTCATTAGGAAGGTTGCCTCGTATTTGTTGTCTAAAATTCTGGGTAGTTTCTTGCTGAAAGATCGTCAGCATTGCTTACAAAAGAGTACCAGCGGAACTAGTGATTCTGTGGTCCATTACTCGTCGATAACAATCACATTTGTAAGGGATATCGTCAAGGGATTCGCACGTTCAAAAAATTGGAGGAGACGTCAAACGTAAAAAATCTTCATATATTCCTCCAAGTGTCCAAAAAGCTGTTTTTTATCTGGTTCATCATTCCATTTGTCTCCCAACATTTTCATCTTTCAGGTTCGCATATTTTTGTGAAAACTGTATCGATGGGCGACCTTTGAAAAGAGACGAAAGCAATGATTGTGTTTTGATTAGGAGCGAGTTTTACACTGACGAATGTTTAGTGTTAAAAAGCGAGTTCTGTGAATTATTGATGAAGGACTTTTTGGACCTTGCCGAAGATGGTATTTTTTTCAGTAACTTTCATATTTAGTTCATTTTTTAGACGCGAAATTATTAGGGATTTTTTTGGTTATTTTTATGGTTCTTGGGAGTTGAAATGGGGATCAATTTGGTATTGTTATCATGTACTGTTTTGCATCAACATGCTCTTGGGTATGATTCAAAATTGTCTCTTGCAGGGAAGTTTTTGCTGATAACTATTTCAATTAATGTGAAATAGAATGTAAAATAATGTTGAAGATGACCTCTTTAAGCAGTACCAAACATTCGACTAGCATTCTTATGTGCTGTATCGAATCCACGAGGTAAAGAATGGTTTTTGAATGAATCCGATGAGCCCGTGAAGGTGGCTGTAATGTCACTTGCAGAGGATACTGAGTTGGACTGTCGTCGAGCAGCACGAACAGCGATGGGACATTACGATAGTGAGCATTACATAAAAGTATGTTATCTGTAACAGTGATTGATTTTTGGCGTCTCAATTCTTTATACACAATAACGTTCGCTGTTTATTTATGGGATCTGGTTTCAGGTAAAGACGCCAGGAAGTGTTCTTGAACGTGAAAAAGCGATAATGGAGAAATGGGGTGAATGGAAATGAAGATTATTCACTCTTGCTTAAGTCGTTGGCTACAACTTTTAATACATAAATACTGAATGAGGGTGTTATGTATAAGTTTCAACTCCTTACTTTTCGTTCTGATTTGTGATGTCTTTCTTTTATCTTAAAAAAGTGAAGTTGGAGGGTTTTCTGCATAGGGTATGCTCATTACAAATTTACTTGCCTTTTAATCGTGATTTTTCCTGCTATTTATTTACCTCATTGTATGATGGAAGATCTCGCAGAGTGATGTAGCTTTGTATTGGAACTAGTTGTATTATTTCTAGATCTCTATTTAAACGTCCAGTAAACTTTGGTACGAAAATAGTTTAGACGTAATTAATGCTTTTTTAGTTTATCTTGAGTTTCTGCGATTTCTTCTCAATTATTAATGCTCTTCTCAGTCTTATACAGAAAATTAGCAGCACATGAACTTGATTTTATTGTGGATTTGGCTTAATTAATCGACTCTTCTACTCAGTCTTTCATCTTGGTGACTTGCCGGTATGAATTCTTCTTTATCTATTGTGATAGGCTACGTGAAATCGAACTTAGGTCACGTCGTCACCTGCCCACACACTGTATGTGTTGTACCTTCAGAAGAATTGTTTGTATTACGAATAAACTTGTTTAATGGACCATCCGTTATTTTTTCTTTGTAGAGACTGTCCTTGAATTCTTGCAGTAAGTCTAAAGCTGCGCATCAACGGTTTATTGGTGAACTTTAAGTTTGCCTTGCATCGCAATGATTAGAACCGGTGTTAGAATTATTTGCTGGTTCGAAATGGCGTCAAATTTTTTAGAACAGTATGAAAAGGCCATGTAACCATCCAGAGAGAATCGAAGGGACCGTTTGCTGAGCAGGGCTGTTTGGTGGAGATGTAGGGCTGTGTAGTCGTCTAGTGCGACAAACTTCTCGTTAAACTATTGAAATTTCTGACTACAATCCTCAGCATGATGTATGAAGAGGCAATAAATGTTTTTCCTGCTCGAAGATCTCGTACATTCGTTATGAATTAAGTGTTAAAGTTGACTTTCTTCGGGCAAATTTGTTCCGTCGGTTACCAGCTGAATTTGCTCGCTGATTTCGGTATAAACCAACGGTAGAGCAGGTGGTACGGTACTGTCGCAGGAATTGTGGCATTTTGAAAATCGGGGCAATTACCACACAGCTAGAGGGCAAAAGGGGACTAGTTTTAGCACATTGAAAATTTTTATTTATTAGATATATAATCGATTAGTAGAAGGCAACGGACTAGTTGATTATTACAGAAACATATGGCAATTGTTTAGATGCCATCGTCTATGTATAAGCACTATTATTACAATTATCTACACAAGATGGAAAGAGAAATCTCGTTGCTATTGTTTGAAATAAACTGTTGAAGGAGGGGGTTGAATTTATCTGAGTTCTACAGTATGGACACTACAGGATGCTTTCAAAAAGCTTCAGGTATCAGTTGCTGTACCATAATTCATGTATTTTGAATGCTCTGTTTTTCTTCTGTATCAATTTCGGAAAACTTCTTTCCTGAAGGATATCTTAGAAGCCAATTCAAGGTCATCAAACATAATTGTTTTCACAATGTCCACTGAATTTATCTTTAGAGGCCATTGAGGTGAAATAGGCACTAGTTGATATTTTGGAAGATCAGTTGCGAATGTATCTGAAAAAAAAAGAAATTTACCAGACTTTACTACAGCTTTGCGATATTATGTGTGTGGGGGTACTTTAGTTAAGAGTTTTATTTCTTCCACGTTAAAGAGAAAAACTGAAAAAAAGAACGAATAAAGTAACTGAGGGAAGTATTTTTGAGCTTTATCTGCAAGTTGCGAAGATATTTTATACGTAGTGTCGTACGGTTCTAGAGAATAATGTCGTTCAACTTGTCAAAATACTATAATTTTGGCCACAGTTCACGGCTCTAGTCAAATTTGGGGTCGAAGAAGCTTAGTGTAAATTTTTAAAGATACTAATTTATATCTGAGTGGTGACATGTCAAAGTGAGTGAAGTGGTTGTCGGTCAAATTTATTTTTGGTGGATTTTGGTCTTTAAAACTTTTCTTGGCAAGTACACTTAGACTCTCAAAAAAACTGATGGTCTACCGTGGACAAATACTAGGATTGAGGTAGATGGACTGAGGGTTCAATTTGCAACTGGTAAGTTTCCCCTGTAAATTCGATTGTCAGAGTGTGGTTTTGAATCGTCTGAATGGTTGAAATTTATAATGTCTTTAACTATGGTTCTACTTTTTTTGTCAATTCAGACGTGGGGGTCACGTAGTGCGTAATTTTTAATACGAAATTGCAGGAAAGCAAGGTCTTATAAAATCTTACGAATATTTGAGTATTTTTTTGAACGCTTTTCGACCAACAGTATTGGCTATTATTTGTTGTAGGATTGCCTAAGAATTGATTTTATGACAACATCAGATCCAACCTTTGAGTAAAAAACTAATTCTGTTTCTACCACTATGTATCGGTTTTGGCACTGAGGAGCCTCTTCGCACCTGACACTATATGATTTTTCAGCAATCATCCTATTAACATTCTCGGATTTTTAGCATCTGATAAATTATTTAGGATATTTTGCTTACGTAAATATAATTTCTAAGTGTTTTTTTAGTAACTTAATAAATGAACTTGTATACTTCTCAGAAACAATCTATCTACTGCCGTTGCATAAGATGCCCAACTGGCTCCTGTGGAGCCCTTTCTGACGGGAGAGCTCTATTAATGGTGGACCAGCAGCGGATCGTAACAGCCATATTATGGCGAAGTAGTCTTATAGAAACTGCTTTGGCAGTAAACAGCATAGATATTCCATATCCGTAAAAGGTGTCCCCTATTTTTTACTGTATCCTTTCTTTTTAGACTTTTAGTAGGTTTAATACTTTCTAGGAGGGAAGCTATCTTCCATGAAAACCTATAAGGCAGATGACGGTAATAAAGGACTGCTACAAAAGGTTGTGACTTTACAGAATTAAGAAGAGTTGAAGACTGCTTTAAAAATTCCTACAGGTAACAGAGTCCAGTTTGTCTGTTCAAAACAGCAACCGTCGTCAAATGACCTTTTTTAAAGCAAATTATTTCCGAAGTGATTTAAACAAATTGTTTTTAAAAATAATCTAAATTTACTTTGCTGTCCAGTCAATTCTTCCCGGGTTTCCTTTGGTTCGAGCAGCATTGGGTATCTGTTTCGCAAATGAAGGTATATAACCTAAATTAAAATAATTTGGAGTAACTGCTGTAAGGTAAAATTTACTTTTTGAAAATATTATGTTCACTTCAATAGCAAAAGAAAACTGAGACTAGAATAGGTTGCCAGATTCTGCAGGTTATTGTTTACCATATTTTATGTTAATTTGCAATCATATTCGATTAATTTTTGTTTTTGGCTAAAGTTGTGCTACTAAAAGTTTCTTTTTTCCATATTTATTCTGCAACGCCAACGTTTGAATTTGCAGTAAAACTCACCGTAAGCGTACTCAAATCTAGCCTGTACTGCCGATCTTTGAATGTTATTGTAACCGCCTTTATGCATCACAGGGTTTTGGTTATCACTGCGATTCTGTTGCAAATGTTTGTTCATACCTGTCAAAATGACAGTTCAGCAAATCTGAGAATGCTTGATATTTTTCAGTGTTTTTACCTTTGCAAATGGACTCTAATGCTTTCAGTGTTGTTAAGGATAGCGAAGTTTAAAAGGAAAACAGAAAAGAAAAAACTAGTTGCATTTTCTTTCTAATTTTATCGTTTATAATGAACAGTTTTCTTGACCTGGCATATATCGAGATTTGGAAATATATAGCTCTTTAACTGGTGGCCTGGCTTTTGTAGTCACCAAACCATTAATCGTAACGCTCTTTTTGTCTTGCAGTGAATCCTTCTTTGTTGGTTCGTCAATAACCCTATAAAGTGGCAACTAGGTTGTGGATTTTATGAAAATGCTCAAAAACAGCTAATTCAGTAACGTTTTACTTGTTTATGGGTAAATTTCGATTAATGTTTCGCTCTTTGATGGTAGTTTCAACCGGAAACAAATTTTGAAATGGGCCAGCAGAATTTGTTTTTAACTTCTGTTTGCCAAGCACAAGTTTAGAATCTGAGAAAGTTGAGCTGGCGCTACTCTTTCTGTTAGAAGATGATGCTTGCCGCGTTGATGGTGTCCCCAGTTTTTGTCTCGCTTGAAAGTATTTGTATTTTAGAGACTGAAAAACGATTGAATTTTTCGTCAGATATTAAAATGCTACCAATAATAACTTTAATGCCCCGTGAAAGCACAGGTTTTCCGCGTAAGAAAGCATTTTTTTTTTGCTTTTAAAAAAGCGGAGGACATCTGTTAGTTTTGAGCTTAGAAATTTATTTTCTCAACTTTTTTTGGCACAGAGTTCGTGTTGTTACACGAGTTATTTTCATTTTTTTTTTTTGTTCAAACGGACTTACTGCTGAGGCAGAAGGTCGTTTTTCTGGATTCCAGAGCATCATATCGGTCATTACTCGAAGGCCGTCACTTCCGACATTTGTTATAATTGTACCTAATGGAGTTGCAACACACTGTTGAAACTTGAAGTTCATCATGGCTGCTAACTGGTAACCTTCTGACCAGTCTTCCTTAAATTTAATATTTTTAATTAAACAAGAGCTTATCATAAATACCGGACGACGGGATGAACATTTAATGTCGTTATGAAAGTAGTAATCTAGTCAATAAAAATCTTGCATAATTTAAGCTTGTGATTGGTAAACAAACTGAATTTGTAGAAAAACTAGTTTGCCGTTAAATTAGCCTGAAAACTTTTTATTCTATTCTGGGACATATCAATCATGGAGGATTAAAAGTATAGATATGTTGAAGAAACCTTAGATGGTGTTCCCAGCACTGTTAAAATTTTAAATATCTGATCTAGTTCTGACGTTCCAGGAAAAAGAGGTCTTAGTAGATAGAGCTCTGCCATGATACATCCCAATGCCCAAATATCAATAGGTGAATTATAAGATGTTGACCGAAGTAGAATTTCCGGCGCTCGATACCTACATAAAGAAGGCTAAGTAATAGTCAGGAAACAATGTTTCAGGTACCGATATCTGCATAGGATGAGTGTTAGTCACTGCAGATAGCAAGTTCATTTGCTCAATAAATAAAATGACATGCTACTATACGTTTGTATTTTGATTTCTAAAGTACAAAAAAAAGTAACCATCTTGTAGAAACATAATCTGTGTAGGGTGGTCTGGATCTTATTTCTCTCGCTAAACCAAAATCGGCAATCTTGACCAATTCAGTGCCATTGCACATGATGTTTTCCGGTTTCATATCACGATGAAAAAACCCTATATATTTACATTAAAAAATTACTCGTAAAACTTGTTACTTACATCATCCATTGAAAAGCGTTAAAGTGTTGATTGAATATTATTTCAAAATAGAAGAATAGGACCATTAGAGTTAAAGAAATTGTGAAAATGAATCAGACCGTTTCTGTGCATGTATGCCAATCCTACAAGCACCTGATATATGATATTACGTATAACATTCTCCGGAAAGTAGCGGTCTCTAAATTTTAACAGTACTGTTGATTTTAAAGAGTTCAAGAGAAGTATACCATTCTTTTCTGTGTTCTTTCTTCGTTATTAACAGTGAGGATAATTGCCGTTAAATTCTTCAGAAAATAGATTTTATATTTCACGTGAAAAA